AAATATTTGGGTTAATTGGAAAAAAATAGTTAAATAGATAAAGATAGAAAAAATACAGAAAACACGTAAATAATAAAAAATCTGATGGGATTCGATCCAAGGACCTTTGAGCAATAATCCTGTGCTGTAGCCGTTGGGCTATCCAGGGTTATTGGCTTTCTAGATTATGGATGTGCCATGAATATGAGAACACTGTGCCATCATTGAGGCAGTTCAGGAATCCATGTTTAACCATCCTCTTGAGGGTCAAAAGGTTATCAGACACTTACTCTTCGCACGTCAGTGGAAAGCACATTTCATGGTCCTTTCAATAAAGGGATAAAAATGGTAGGTCAGTGCTGAAACAAAAAAGTTTTTCACTCTGTCCGTTAGCCACGTCCTCAGAAAAGTGCTGAGCTAAAAAAGAAACAAAGAATGAGAGAGAACCTGCAAAGGAAAGTGAGGGCCAATGATTTTGTTGACCAACTTCTTCATGTTCTTGTGAAATATAAAGAACATGGAGGACCTGTTACATCTGTCAAAGAACTTAAGGCACTTGTCAAGAAACCAGCTAAAGACCTTCTTGAGGCAAGAGATCCAATACAAGCGAGGCACACATCAACGTGATTCAGATGTCTGCAGGGACCTTTACAAGGTCAACAGACTGTCTGAGAATGAGATGATCGAGAACCTAACTGTGATCCTCAGGGATGACTACCAAGCAGAGGAGGCAGTGGTGTTTCTGTGTGAGGAGGGGATAATGGAAACACTGACAGGAGCCAGTACCACTGTTCAAAAGGCAGAGAGGAGCTCTCATGGAGAATATGTGTTGCAGCGCAACCTATCACTTGCTGTTATCTGGGATGAGGGAGGGCAACAAAAAATGGTATATTGGGTTTTACATTAATGATAATAGAGTCGGAACATTCCAGGTGAATCACGTGATGCGCGCTGGTACCGGAGATCAAATTTGGCAGCGATCGACCACCTGGCACTGATGATATCAAGGACACTATCGAGCAGCAGACTGCGCCTGTGGCAGTTTCAGGAACCTGAGCCTTTTCTAGGAGGAAGCTGTGTTGTTTCACATAATGGCCCTGAAACCCAGAATATGTTTTGGGAAATATGCTAATTATAAGGTTAGATTTATCTCCATAACGTATTTCTTGACTAGTAATTGTACTTTTATTATTTTCTAATTATGTTTATAACTTTGTGTCCTAAATAAGCCCAGAATAACTTTTTAGATAAAGTCTCTGATCAAAGCAGAAACCTGAGATATGAGAAAAAATCTAAAAACCCACTCCCGCCACAAAAATAAGGTATGGTGACACAAGAAGGCGCTTTTTTCTTGGACTCCAGACCGAAACTTTTGTCATTTCATGTTGAGATAGGTAAAATAGAACAAAAAAAAACTCAGCCCTAATGAAAATTTAAACAAATTTCATTTTGGCCTCCGTATAGCCCACTCCTAATACAGTGTCAGGTAGGTTAGTGCAAGGGTGCGAAAGACACACAAACAACCTACCCATCACCAAATGTTTCTACTGGTGAGCCCATGACCTCGCTGCACAGTGTGTCGACGATAGGTGGTACATTTTGACCAAGAAACTTGCAGACCTTGACGAAGCATGGCCAGTGGTTGCATGTCCATGCCCAGTATGGCAAGCCATTACCATCAAAAATCCTTTCTAAAGAATTTAAACCTAGAATCCCAAATCAATTTACAATGCATTAAATCAATTTACAAAGTTTAAAATTAATTTACAAAAGTAACAATTTATTTATAGAAACATAAGTTATAGTTACAATTTATTAACATGTTTAGGAATCAATTTACAAGATTCTAAATTAATTTACAAAAGTAACAATTTATTTATAGAAACATAAGTTATAGTTACAATTTATTAACATGTTTAGGAATCAATTTACAAGATTCTAAATTAATTTACAACATTTCAAATCTAATCTTTCAATCCTCCT